TCTTAACTCTAGTGGCCTTCTCGGCTTTGAATAATTGATTTAAAAAAAAATGATAGTAAATAAAATAAAATTATTTTAAAGAAAGGTTTTCATCTAATGATTATTTTGTGGAACAAACCATAAACTGTTTTGTTTGCATTAAGTGAGAGTTTACTATCCTTAAACCAATCATTGACATTCCTTAATTCAAAATTTATGTCAGTATTAAATCAGTCCCACTAGGAAAAAAGACGTCGAAATGACGCCTTTAAAAGTCTTTTTTACGATGTCTTTAAGATGTCTATTTTTTGCTGATTATGCAAATCTAAAAGACATCTTTTTTCGACTTTTTCTATGTTTTTTTATGCGTATTTTTTTTATCTTATTCTTGTCATAAAAAGACATAAAAAATGCGTCTTTAAAACATCTTTTTTAATCTATTATGTGCATCTAAAAAAGTTTTTTTTCTTGGCGTCGGAAAGATTTTTTTTTTACTTATTAGTAAACTATAGTATCCTATACACTATAGTACTCCTTTTTTTCATATATGAAAAGCTGTTTTCATTAAATGAAAATGATAATAGTCTTCATATAAAGTATGACAAATAGCTCTTTGCGATGCCGAGAAAAAAAACACTTTTAGATGTCAATATAAAAGAGAAAACATTTTCTACATCTTTTATATGTTTAAACATAGGAAAATAATTTATAAATAAAACAGCAATATGTTTAACAGAACATTTTTCAACTTTCTCTTTCTCCTCTCTTTCTTGGCGTTGTTGAATAAAGTTAACTATTTCACGTCGAGAACTCCTTTCATATAAGCTGGCTACGAATGAGGCTAAAAGTAAGGATTTTAAGGAGGTTTAAGGAGAAATTTTCCTTTTATTTAAGAAGATTTGGTCGCAAATGACAGTTTTTTAAAAGAAAAAGTAAGGAAAATTAAGGAGAAAACAATTAGATTAAAAACAGAACCTTAATTTTTTCAATAAATTATAAATATAAGCAGAAAAATAATTATAACCTTATTTTTTTAAGGTTATTTAAGGACTTTTATAGAGTTTTTTTTTTAAGAATATTTAAGGTTTTTAAGGAGGAGTGGGAACCCTGTAAAAGCTCTATTTTAGCATGAAACATAATGATGCTTTACTAAACAACTTAAAATTATAAAAACTAAAATTATAAATATTATAAGAAAGTGTACCTTTCCAGCATCATTTTCACTTGGTCTTTTGTAACCAAACTAAATGTTTTGCAGACAATTCTGAAGATAAATCTGTTGTCATTATGTGCATTTTTTACTTGTTTTGTTAACAACAGACAACAGTTAACAAGGAAATAACAACAGTTAACAAGCAAATAACAACTTACAGACATAAATAAAATACAGACAGAAATTGTTCACAGGTTTTATTTTTTGTCTAGAAATAAATAATTTAATTTAATAGGTAACAACCCAGTGGGCATTTGACGTCCTAGGACGTCCAAAAACGAACAAATCTGGTCTAGATTTGCGGGACCTAATTAGACGTCCTTGGAGGTCCAAATTAGTCAAACTTCGTCTTAATTTTTAAATTGGACGTCTACTGACGTCCAAAGTATTAACATGCTTGCGCGAACTATTTCGCTGTTATATAACAATTATACTCAAAAACACAACTACAACGGCAGTTAATATTTTAACTGCCATTGTAATTGTGTTTTTGAGTATGATTGTTATATAACAGCGTGCTAGTAGCAAAATTGCTTGTTACAGTTACTTACTCTGTCTTCCTACATTACACGTCACTTGACGTTGATCATTTTGTCTTCCTGCAAAATTAAATAATGGAACGCAAAACGTATACAAAAAGATTTCCCGGAGATTCAAGTGAAAAATGTCAAAAGTAAATTCTGAGTAAAACAAAGCTGAACTTAGCATAATTTATTATAAATGTTAGTTGAAAAACTATATAAGTATTTATTTTGTAAGTATATAAAGTTTTTTAACTGACATTTATTTCAGCTTTGTTTTATAGTCTATAGTTATAGCCCTATATTAGTATAATAAATAGTATATTTCTAGTAGTAGGGTAAAGGAAGGTATGTTCGTGATATATGTAATTTCGTGATATTTCTTTCGGCATTTGTAGCGAACATACCTATTAGTCAAAAACATCGAAATTGCGTCAAATGGTACCCGGGGTACTACTGTCGATTCACAAATAGTCGTTGGGTGCGTGTGATACGTCAATTGTTTACTATCAGTTTGTACATTCTTTAGCATTATTTTACGTGCGTTCAGCACATTGGTTTGGAATACTTGTCCAACATTTTTATTTCCAGACTTGTGTTTTAAGGTAAGTAAATTATTTTTATTAAATATTAAACTAGAAAACATGCTTGATTTAATGGTAAAACTTTTGTTTTTTTATTAACTTCCTATAACTTATGATTCCTTATCGCAGTTACACATTTTCTTAACGTTTTCACCTCAAATGAATTTACATTTTTAATCATGTTTCTTTTATTAAATATAATGACATTAAAAATTGTTTTAAGCACGATATAACTATATAGTTAAATGAAGATAATATCTTTCTCTATACGAATCTGCAAATATTTTTGCAGTAAAGCCTATCTATAATAAAGCCGATGTAGGAATATACAAGCCACTTAAGTCAAACTGGGCCACTAGCTTAAATGACTTTATGAGGGAAAATCCTGGAGAAAAACCAAATCGGACAACTTTTCATACAATATTGAATCTAGCATTTATTAAAAACTTTTCTAAAAAAAATATAGAAAATGCATTTAAAAAAAGTGGCATTTGCCCTTTAAATAAAAATGCCATTCCTCCAGAAGCAATAGCTCCATCTCAATTGACAAACAGAGAGATTCAAAGTACAGAAATTCAACCACACAGTAATACTGCTATACAAACATTGTTAACTATTCCATCTGTAGAGCCAACCACACCTAGCCCTAATAGGCCAAAAAGGGATTCAAGTGCAAAGTGGCTGACTCCTCCTGATCAACCTATTCTATCAACTTCAAAGGATTCTATTCCTGTATGTTCTAAAAAAAGTAAAAAAAATAAAAATGCTTCAAAAGATAATGATTGGGAGTGCGGTGTTTGTAAAAAAAGTTACAACATTGATGTAAAAAAAAAAATGGAAAAAAATGGGTGCAGTGTTCCTATTGTTTAGTACCTTATCATGAGAGTTGTCAAACATATGAGGACATTGGTGAAGTATTTATGTGTGATACATGTTGTCAACAAGAATGTGATTTAGAAAAACAAGTTAATCAGATATAAGTATGGTTAATATTATAGTTATTATATTAAGAGTTTTTTGTAGGTCTGTTATTTTATTTTCTAAGCTACCTATGTTAAAAGTATATTTTTTTTATATATAAATATAAAGTAATGAAAGTATTATTATAATTTTGTTAACTTATAAGCCTGACTATATTTATATTTTATGAACTTAAAGTCTGATTGAATAGTTATGAATTCAAAACAAGTGTTGATATTTTTTGTTATATTATACCAGATGTTATACTTAATTAATAAAGAAAAATTTATATATTATTGTGTACTCACGAAATTACCTAACCACTATCACGAAACTAAATATCATATCACAAAATTACCTAACTTTTCTCAATGACTTTTGAGCTTTTATAAAAACTTATCAAAGGACTTAAAATCCCAAAACTGCATAGATTCTAGTAACTTTACTCTATGTACATCAAACAATTAAAGTAATTAAGTAAAATTACTGAAATTGACATTGTAATTACACATCTAGTTAATTTATCACGAACATACCTTCCTTTACCCTATCTCTAGATTGAAACATCTACTGATATATTAATCGATTAGATTAAAATATCTATACTAAAACTATATGATATAGTTTTCCTATAAATATTTTGATCTAGCAGACTAAAATATCTTTAGATTAACTACATGTTTTAAAGACAGCTTCCATGTTTTTTTCCTCTTTTAAAACTTTGGAGTGCTTATAAAAAGTATATATTAGTATTTTCTGGTAATATTAACTATGAATATTATATATAAATTAACTATAAATATTATATATAAATGTTATATATATATATATATATATATATATACATATATATATATATATATATATATATATATATATATATATATATATATATATATATATATATATATATATATATATATATATATATATATATATATATATATATATATATATATATATATATATATATATATATATATATATATATAAATTATATATAAAATAATATTAACTATAAATATTAAATATAAAAAAGTTCTAGAGGTAAGATTCAAAAGATATATCTAATTTAAATGATGTATATTTAATTCAAAATGTGTTTTAAATTTCAACAAATTTCAACTTAATCTTTTTTTAAATTTTCATTTCAACTGTATAATAATAAAATTAAATTAAAAAATAATATTACATATATGAAAAAATTTTTAATAATAATAAAATTGGTTACAAATTAAGTAAAATAAATTTACTACCTTATCTCTGTTTAAACCAGTTTTATTATGTGTATATTTTACACAATTTTATTATTTGCAAAGTGTTTTTTTAGGAAACGTATAACTAACTGGCGTAATAACCGTAGTCATGTGTTTGCAATTTCACAGTGTATTGATTCCCCAACAAATGATTCAAATTTTAGTGAAAACTTTGCAATAAAAACTTTTAATTGTGGTTGTTTGTTGCAATCAGAAAGTGAGATTAAATCAGATAATGATCATCAGCCCAAAATAAATAGTGTTTCGCAAAGTTTTGAAAGTTTTAGTTATCCTTCAGATAATGAAATTTGTGAGTTAACGGATAATAGTCAATCATTTTTAAAAGACATTCGTATTTGGGTATTAAAACATCAAACTACACGAATGTGTTAATGACTTATTAACAATTTTAAGGAACCATGGGCACCAACTTCCAAAAGATTCAAGGACAGTTTTAGGAACATTGAACAAAGTTGATGCAACCGAAATGAATGAAGGGGAATATAAATACCTTGGTATAAAGGAAGGCCTTAAAACAATTTTAAAGCACAGTGCATATAACTGTGATGAAATTAAGCTACTCTTTAATGTAGATGGTTTCCCTATTTTTAAATCATCAGGATACCAATTATGGCCTATTACATCTCAATTTTCTGTTTTTCAACCTTTTACTGTTGCCTTATACGGTGGTCAGAAAAAACCAAATCCTATTGAGTTTTTGACCAATTTTGCACATGAGCTGAAAGAGCTGCATAATAAAACAGTTACTTTATGTGATAAATCCTATTATGTCTCAATCCTTGCAATTCCATGTGATTCGCCTGCTCGCAGTCTGCTGAAGGTAATTGTACAACATAGTGGTTACCATGCCTGTGAGAGATGTGATGAGGCTGGTGTGTCTGTTAAAGGTTGTATAGGTTGTGGTACAAATAATAGCAAATTGATTTTAAAAAGAACTGATTATGGTTTACGTTCAGGTCAGTATGCTCAACTGGATAATGAAAACAGATCTCATCAGCATATACACTAGACGACTGATCTTACAAATCCTACAAGAATCCTATAGGATGAGATGCACATGTCCCTGCAGGACCTACAAGAATTTTTTGAAGGATATTGTAGGATTTGAAGGAATTCTTATAAGATAATATAAGATCTACAAGAATATTTTATAAGATCTTGCAAGATTAACAGGATTCTTATAGGATGCTGAAGGAAAATTTTAGATTCGTATATATACGGCCGTAGCCCTCCCCCTTAATCCAGCACTGGTTCCTAAAAGAACCAGTGATAGATTAAAGAGGAGGGGGCCAGGGCCCTAAAATTTCGGGATTCCGAAACTATTAAGCGGAACTTTTTCTTTTGCTACTGTTTTAGTCATTTTTGTGCTGTGGCACGTTAAAAAGGATTCCGGGCCCTGAAAAGTCTTATTACGCCAATGATAGGAACCATAACATTTATTATTTTATAATTAATATCATAAATCTAATAGCCAAACTATATCATAAATCTAATAGCCAAACTAAGAACATACGAAGTTAGGTTTTTATTTTGATTGGAAGAAAAGTATGTCTATTCTTCTTTTTAATTACTGATAATAGGTAAGTTAAAGTTTGAAATAACATTTTCTTATTAAAAAAAATCATTCTGTATAAAAGAAGTTTTTCACATAATATCTTTATTACAGAATCACAATTGCATTGCTGATTACTTTCGTTTTTTCTTCCTATTTAGGCCGCTCTGATTAAGACTTCGTCTGACGCACGCCCACGAGTAATTGGCAAAAACTGTTGCAAGTTGCTCTTTGAGATTTCGTATTATTGCATCAGGAACTGTGGTTCTTTAATAAGAAATAAAGATATATAAAAAAAAATAATAAAAATCAGGCAATTAATCATTAATTAAAAAATTAAAACCCGTCCCGCCCCTTAACCCATCGCAGACACAAGGGAGGGGGGGATTATTACCTCCTGACAAAATTTTTAAATTATTTAAAGAGTATGACTAAGTAAAAAGTAAAAACACTTGAAATTTTAGCTACTTGCTCCAAATATTTAGGCGAATTTAAGAAAAAAAAAATCATTTGAAATGCCTAATCTGAGCATATTAGTCAAATCCATGGATTGATTCGGTCAAACAAATGACTGGTCAAAAACTTGAATTTTGATTTCTGGCTTTTTTTTGTAATCCTGAAGTTTCATATTTTCCATGAAGCTTTTTTTTATACTTACATATTTATAATTATTTCAATAAATGAAGTATGAGAAGTTGTTAGTCCAAGATCCTACTTTTTTGGATCTGGATCATGATCCAACAAGTTAAACTAATTGATCCCAAATTATCAAAATAGGTTAAGAAAAATAGAAAATTTAATAAAAACCCAAGCACTGAAAGTATGATTTTCTAAATATCCCCCTGCCACCCTGTGCCAACAACTTATAAAAAATAGGTAAGCCTTAAAGCTGCTGCCCAATAACATTACCTACATAAAAATGCCCTAATTAAAAAACCTACCTATCAGCCTCTCCATGAGTTGTATTCAGACTTTCTCTAAAACATTTTAAATTTAATAGTATCGTGTTAAAAATACAGCAAACTTTCATACTTTAAAATATATATATATATATATATATATATATATATATATATATATATATATATATATATATATATATATATATATATATATATATATATATATATATATATATATGTATATATATATATATATATATATATATATATATATATATATATATATATATATATATATATATATATATATATAATGTGAAATAAATATATAACAATTTTTATTATTAATTTTTATTAATTAATTAGAGTAAAGTTAAATACAATAATAATTATTAATACAACAAAATTTATGCATATTTATGTTACCAAGTTTATAAAATTTTCATAAAATCCATAATATAAAATAATCATGATATAGCAACTATTTATATATTTCTTTAACAAAAATGAAAAAGATATTAGATTCTCAAACAGCATGTTCATTATAATGAACATGCTGTTTGAGAATCTAATATCTTAATTTTGTATCTAATATCTTAATTTTTGTGATTTGTGACGTGATTTAAATGCGCTAGTGACGTGATTTGAATGCGCTATTGGAAGGCATTATGAATTGCGGAAAAATAAATAGCACTTGAGTGCTATTTATTTTCCCGCAATTCATAATGAGGATATCCACAGATATTTTCAGGAAGATTGGCTTCTGCAGATCTGATAAAGATATCTCATCGTTTAAGTGACCTAAAAGGAAAATTACCTTCAGAGTTTGCGAGACAACCACGTGAACTAACTGAAGTTAATCGGTGGAAGGCTACTGAATTTAGAACTTTTCTTCTATACACAGGCATTGTTGTACTAAAGGATGTTCTGGAACCAAAAAGATACAAACATTTTTTGAGTTTAGCCCTTGCAATACGCATGATATGTGAAGAGGAAACTATCTTACGATGCAGTTATCTAAATTCAGCAAGACAACTGTTTTAATTATTTTGTTACTAATGCGCATGAGCATTATAGTGATACTTTCACTGTATACAATATACATAACCTCAAGCATCTTACTGATGATGTTGAATTTTTTTCAATCTTCTCTTGATGCTTTTTTATGTTTTCAATTTGAAAATTATTTGAAAACCTTAAAAGGATTGGTACGTGGTAAACAGAATCCGTTAATAGAAATAGTTAAAAGGCTTCATGAATTAAAAGATACTTACTCTGAGAAAACAATTACTATTACCAAGTTTAATGGACCTACTAACTCTTGGTTTCTTACTGAAGATTGTATATGCTTTGTAAATAACACTTTGCCTGATGGTAGATTAGTATGCAAGATGTACAAAAAGAGTGAAATAGATAATTTTTTTAAAGATTTTGTTTCTTCTAAGACTCTTCAAATATTTCTGATAAGAAAAGATACACTTTGGTCAGATCAAATAACTTGTGCAAACATAAGATGGAGAAAATGTGTTTGTTTAGCACATGGAAATGGTCAAGTTATCATACCATTACTAAATCGTGTAAAATTGGGATAAAAAAAACACAATAATTTTATTTATGTTAAACTTTTATTTATATTAAAATTTCCTATTTCTGAAACTTTTTTATGAATAAATTTATTTAAATAGATTAAAGATTTAAAGAATAGATTTATTTAAATATACTGACTTTGGTTTTATTATTAGTCTGTTTAAAAAATTTAGAAAATCTGTATTTAAATATACAATTATATGTAAGCAAAGTTGAATGGTTTATGTTTATAGTTTAAAAAAAAGTAAAAATATGTTTAAGACTAATGTGGTACGTACTTTTGAATTGTTCATTAAGTCCTTTTTGTATTCTCAGGCTTTTTAGTACTGTTGTTATAACTGAAAAAGGTCTACCAAACAAAACAGTGGTTCCTTCTCATTGGGTTAGTTTAGATAAATGTATTGTTTATTTCCCACCCAAAGGATTCAAAACTCTTGGTACTTATATTTCTGAATGGGCTGTTCCAGAACCAGTCTGGAAAGAGTATAAGTTTATTGAATTTATTTTGGAAGCTGGAACATTGGAGACATGCAACCAGATGCTTCAATTTCAAACAGAAGATGAGTCAGAAAATCACGGTTTACAATTTTTATTATTTATGTAATTTCTCTTGTAAAAAAAAATTATTATGAGTGTATAGGAAATTTTTTTGTATTAACCGTAAGGAAAATCAAAAGAAGTTCGAGCACCCACTCCAGAGCTAGACTTCATTTTTAATTCTAATGAACCTGTGAACAGTGGATTTTCTCAAAAGCTGATAAATGCAATTAAATCTAAGTTAAAAGTTGCAGATAATAATAAATATTTTGTCAATATTTAAAAATCACAAATAAAATATTTAATTTAACTTTAGAATTTCAATATGCAATTTTCATGGAACTAACAAGTCAATTTAATCAAATTAAGGATAATCAAAAGAAAATCCTTGATCGTCTTGAGCTACTTGAAAATAATGATGCGGGACCCAGTGGGTTTGCAACTGCCGATATTTTAACATAACCAATAGATACAATGGAAAGGTTTGATGAGGAAGAAAATGTATTAAACTCCAGTAAAGCAGCTAGGTTTCGAAAGGTAGTTTGTCATATTTTTTTTCACCTTATAGAAAAGTCAATTTAATCAACAGTTTTAAATGTTACTTTTTAAAACACAACTCAAAACTAAAAATGCTAATTTTTTATTTTTTTTATTTTATTTTTAATTAGGAGTTTACAATTTTATTTACAATGTTATTTTTCCTTAAATAGACACAAGATTGAGATGAGTTTGCATCGGATTTTTTTTTAACGTTTTTGTTGTCTCTAGATTAAACAAACAAAGGGCGTTGATGGTTAAACGCCACGTCGACTTGTTAAAAATGTGTTAGACAGCATAATGACACAATCTTTACAAAGCTGCTTCAGTAAAGATGGAATAAAAGGAAAACAAAATTTTGTGGCCACAACTTTATACAAATGTTTAAAAAGTAAGTTAGTTGACATACCTAATTACATTGTAAATAACTTGAGGTTTTTATTAAGTTTGTTATAAAAAATAAAAAAGTCATAATAAAATTTAAATATAATGAAAAATAGTTCTGAATTTTGCTTGTTTTAGAAGCGCTCATCTCAGAAAAGATGGTTTTGAAGTGGGCAATATTGAGGCACTTGTTGGCGACTTGTTAAAACGTGCAATGCCGAAATTGCAAAAAGAAGGAATTAAATAATATAAAAATTCTTGAGTTTTTTTTAATTATAGCATGTATTTTAACACTTAAATAATTAAACAAATTTTTAACTTGAAAAAAGAAATTATTGCTAGTTTTCCGTGCCATGCCTAATTACGACGACCATAGGTTTAATACGATGTCGATTTTGGACAAATATAGACGTCCGCTATGCGTCTTAATTCGTCCAAAAAATGTCTGAAAAAGACGTCATTGGACGTCCGTTATGGACGGACAAAAGGTGTTTCATTTGGACGTCTACCGGACGTCCATTAGACGTCCAAAATGGATGTCCTAGGTCCAATCTGGACGTCCGCTGGACGTCGTTGGACGTCCAAATGCCCAGTGGGAAATTACATATATCAAGCACAACACATTAAAAAGATAGTCTAAAAATAAACAATAAAACTTATTAAAATACTTGCCTGCGACTAACTTTATATAATACTATAGCTCTTTGTTTATACCATAACTCTTTTGTTTATGCCTTGTGGCCAATACAATTTTTTCTCTGCCTTGTCTTACCATCTTACTGGCACCACACCATCTACTTTTTGCTTCTCCTATTAACATTTTCTAGCAAATCATATATATATATATATATATATATATATATATATATATATATATATATATATATATATATATATATATATATATATATATATATATATATATATATATATATATATATATATATATATATATATATATATATATATATATATACATGCACATATGTATATTTATATATATACATACACATATATATATATATATATATATATATATATATATACTATATATATATATATATATATATATATATATATATATATATATATATATATATATATGTATATATATATATATATATATATATATATATATATATATATATATATATATATATATATATATATATGTATATATATATATATATATATATATATATATATATATATATATATATTATATATATATATATATATATATATATATATATATATATATATGTATGTATATCTATAAACATTTACACATATATATAGTCTTGTATGGTAGTCAGAAAATTTTTCTTTAAAACTACATAAACTGTAGTTTTAAAGAGCGCGTTAATAAACCACACCAGAAAAAGTTATAATATAAGATAAAAGTTATAATATAAGATATCCATAAGATAGTTGATGTAGCAACACTACATTGCGAGTCAGGCTATGAGTTAGTCGATGTAGCAACAGTTCGTTGCGAGTCAGGCTATAAGATAGTTGATGTAGCAACATATTTTAAAAATATATTTTAATAAAACAAAAACAAAAACACCATTAATCAAAAAAAACTTTCTAGTCATTGTTGCAGTTTTTTTTAAAAACAATAAAGTTTTATGTACTTCCGCATTAATTTAAAGGCTTTAACATTTCGACGATAACATGCAGCTTATTTGTCAAGGTAGCAAAACTGAAGTCAAAAAAGACTTTTTTTTACATTAAAAGTCCCTTTTGACTACACTATAATGATATATATATATATATATATATATATATATATATATATATATATATATATATATATATATATATATACCCAGTAATAAAAAGACGTCAAGCCGTTGTTGTAATTTGGTTGTATTTTGGTCACGACGCAAGTTAACTAAATCCCAACGATGTTCCAACGTCTGCATAGCGATGTTATTTTAACGTTTGCTATCAAACGTTGGAACAACGTCAGAACAACGTTGTCATCTAACGTCTTGAATGTTGACATTAAAACGACGATGGAACAACGTTGGTTGTTTAACGTAAAACCAACGTTAGTCTGATTAACGTTAGAACGACTTTGGAACAACGTTGCTTGTTTTCCATTTTTACTTGTGACTTCAAAGCAACGTCAGCATTCTAACGTTAACACAACTTGATTTTACAAAACTTGCGCATTTTTAAAATGGTTGAAAACCCGTTATCGAAAAAGATGTTATTTTTAATCTGGTTTTATATCAGGTATATTCTGTGATATTAATAATTATTACATTATTTCTTTATATTCTACATTCGAATTAGATATCAAATTTTATCATATTAATGGTAAATAAAAATTACTAAAACTTAATTTGATCTTCAAAAAATGTTGACATTTTTGTTATGTTTTTGTATACTTTAATAAAGTATAGTATATTTAAGTAATGTTAAATATATAAAGTCTTTATATCTTTTAACATTACTTAAATAGTAAAAATTGTCTAAGACAGTTGTAAGTGGTATTAAGACAATGTCTTAGTACATAATATATTAAGTATAAATATAAGACAACTAAGATATATTAAGACAATGTCTTAGTCATAATATATTTTTTATTTATTTGAATAAAAATTTTTTTAGTTTCTTGACTAGAAATTCTAGACTAGAAATTACCTAACAAACTTCCATATAACTTGTGTAATGTGTTTCTTTTACGAGTTTATATTTTGGTATAATTCCTATAATTCACTGATAAAAACAAAAAAATGTCATGCTATTGCTACAATATTATAACTGACACTGACTCTCACAAGTTTAAGTCTCAAGTCACGAAAAAGGGCGAACAATTTTTCATGTATTTGTATTAAGTTACTTTTATTTATTTATTTTTTTTATTGTTATTCACCTCTGAGTTACTACTAGGGACACAGTAAGGATAGAACTGAGAACCTCTCACTATGAAGCAAGCAAAAAACATATCCTACAGAAACAGCAACAGAACATCTAAATTTTACACTAGATCTTAGTCATAATAAATTATTTATTTAAATCAATACACACAAAGTGTTAAATTATACACACTCAGTCAGTATTTAATTTTCAAAATGAATCACAATCTCATGTTTTCCTATTTTCAGAGTTGAAACAAAGAGCTGATTTTGGCCATAAAGGTCATAAAGGTTGCTTCACTTGAGGAGGCTTATTTTTAATTCAATTGTGGTTATAATCCCCTCTCAACTCAATAACTATAAAATATTTCAATAAAATACATGTCAAATACATTTGTGTGTAGCTTTTGTATATAATATGTGATATAATATAGTTTTTAAAATTGATATATTATACCGATATATATATATATATATATATATATATATATATATATATATATATATATATATATTATATATATATATATGTGTATATATATATATATATATATATATATATATATATATATATATATGTATATATATATGTATATATATATATATATATATATATATATATATATATATATATATATACATATATATATATATATATATATATTATATATATATATATATATATATATATATATATATATATATATATATACATATATATATGTATATATATATATATATGTATATATATATATATATATATATATATATATATATATATATATGTATATATATATATATATATATGTATATATATATATATATATGTATATATATATATATATATATATATATATATATATATATATATATATATATATATATGTATATATATATATATATATATATATATGTATATATATATATATATATATATATATATGTATATATATATATATATATATATATATATATATATATATATATATATATATATATATATATATATATACATATATATATATATATATATATATATATATATATATATATATATATATATTATATATATATATATATATATATATATATATATATATATATATATATATATATATATATATATATATATATATATATATATATATATATATATATATATATATATATATATATATATATATATATATATATATATATATACATATATATATATATATATATATATATATATATATATATATATATATATATATATATATATATATATATATATATATATATATATATATATATATATAGTCTTGCATGTCTCTTGCGTAGCATCAAAAAATATTTCCCATAAACTGTAGTTTTAAAGAGCGCGTTAATAAACCAGACCAGAAAAAGTTTTAAAAATTAAATTTTTTTTTTTAATTGATAGACTGCCTGGCCAAACCAAACCCTCAGTCGATGTAGCAGCACTCTCTTGCGAGTCAGGCTATTTGTCAGTCGTTGTAGCAGCACTCCCTTGCGAGTCAGGCTATTTGTCAGTCGATGTAGCAGCATTCCCTTGCGAGTCAGGCTATTTGTCAGTCGATGTAGCAGCACTCCGTTGCGAGTCAGGCTATTTGTCAGTCGATGTAGCAGCACTCCGTTGCGAGTCAGGCTATTTGTCAGTCGATGTAGCAGCACTCCGTTGCGAGTCAGGCTATAAGATAGTCGATTGTAGCAACATTTACGCATGTTTAAAAAATGTTTTTTATTAAATCAATAACAAAAACACCATTAATTAAAAAAAACTTTCTAGTCGTTATAATTGCGGTTTTTTAAAAATTTTTCAAAAAACAATTAAATTTAATGTACTTCCGCATAAATTAATTGCTTTGACATTTCGATGACAATCAAAAACAGCTTAAGAGACGAGGTAATTAAAATTGTAGTCGTAAGAGACTTTTTTTACATTAAAATGCTCTTAAAGCGACACTATATGAGTATATATATATATATATATATATATATATATATATATATATATATATATATATATATATATATATATATATATATATATATATATATTGTCATAGTACTATCATTTACTTATTCTCTTTACTTTCTAACCGAAAAATTAATTAAGCTTATATTTTAATAAAACGCATGCAAAGTTAAAATATATATTTTTTGAATGTTATTATTTTTTCTTCAATTTTTATGTGCAGAGTTCAAGCACTAAGTTATCAAGGTGTTTGAAATTAAAACAAGTTGACTTAAATATACATCATCACATTATTTAATCCTAAGCTTAACTGTTGAACAATAGAAGATTTGAACAAGTTTACACTAAGAGTGGGTAGCAAAGGTTTTGCACAACAGTTTGTGAGTTTGATTACAATAT